ACTCACTATGTAGACCAGGCTGGCCTTGAACTCATAGAGATCTGCCTGCCTCTGCCTCCCTAGTGCTTGGATTAAAAGACTCTGTCTCAAAAAAGAGCAAAAAAAAAAAAAAAAAATTTTTTTTTCTCCTCTTTTTACCCCCAGCCAGCTGGCCTGAACTCCCTCTGTAGGCCTGCTTCTCCCTCCCCAGTGCTGGGGGATTAAAGGCGTGTGTCACCACGCCCAGCAACAATATATATATATATTTTTTTTAAGTTTTATTTTATGTGTATGAGTGCATTGTCTGCGTGTATGTGAGTGCACCCTTGTCATGCAATGCTGCATAGGTCAGAAGAGGGCTTCAGATTCCCCTGGAACTGGAGTTAAGGACAGTTCATAGCCACCATGTAGATGCTGGGAATCAAACCCGGATCCTCTGCAACAGCAGTCAGTGCTCTTAACCGCTGAGCCATCTCTCCAAAAAATATTTAAAAAAAATTTTTTTTTCTTGGTCTGTTTGAGACAGGGTCTCCCTGTAGCCCCAGCTGTCCTGGAACTCACTATGTAGACCAGGCTGGCCTTGAACTGACAGCGATCTGCCTGCCTCTCAAGTGCTGGGATTAAAGGCGTGTGCCACCACGCCGGGCTAAAAATATTTTTTAAAAAAATGGTAAAAATGAGACTGGAAGGCCAGGTGTGGTGGCACACAGTTGAGGCCAGCTGGGACTACAGGGAAACCCTGTCTCAAAGACCAAAAGCAAATAAAAATTTAAAAATTCCCTCTATTAAAAAAAATTTAAAAAAACAACAGTAAAAGCATTCATTCATTGGGTTTGATGTAGCTCAATGGTAGAGTTTTTGTCTAGCATGTTCAAGGCCCAGGTCTGATCCCCAGCATCACAAGAACATACAAAAAAGCCTTGGAATTTGATGGGGCTGGAGAGATGACTCAACAATTAAGAACACTGGTGGTTCTTGCAGAAGACCCGGGTTCGAATCCTAGCATCCACATGGCCAGCTAACAACTGTCCATAACTAGTCCCAGGGAATCCAACAGCCTCTTCTGACCTCCATGGGCATTGCACGACACGGGTGCAATTACCTACATGCAGGCAATACACGCATACACATAAAATAAAAATAAAAAAATAAGAGAAAAAGCCTTGGAACTTGAAAGCCTCTGTCCAATTTCATGGCTTCAGAGATATTTGTAAGCCTGGGGGCTAGGTGCTGATGTCAGGGAAGAAAGCAGGCTAGTAGAGAGAAGACAGAGGTTATTCAGTTGTAGACAGAGCTCTCTCTCTCTCTCTCTCTCTCTCTCTCTCTCTCTCTCTCTCTCTCTCTCTCTCTCCATATATATATGAATCTGAGTCAAGTGGGATCCAGAGGAACCAAGGTGGGAGATTTGGTCACCCAGTGAGGAAACGATTGCCAGAGAGAGAAGTAAATTCCAACCTGCCTGTGGGCTTAGGTCCCTGACTTCCTGCTTTTATTTGGAATTTGTTTATACACAGGATCTCACTATGTAACCCTAGCTGGCCTGAAACTCATGTAGACCAGGCTGGCCTCCTACTAACAGAGATCCACTTATCTCTGCCTCCCAAGTGCTGGAATTAAAGTCTGTGTTGTCATGCCTGGCTTTTTTAAAGCATTTATTTTCTATTGGGGTGTGGAGGGTTGCACATGCCATGGTCCATGTATGGAGGAGGTCAGAGAACAAGTTTCAAGAGTTCCCTTCACCATGTAGGTCCTGGGGAATGAGCTCAGGTCGGCAGGCTTGGAGACAAGCACCTCCCCTCCCCCATCCTGAGCCATCTCACCAGCCCTCATCTGGAATTTCATAAGCAAATTCTTTTCATCAAACACAGTAAAACACTGCAGCAATGAGGCTTTTTAGGAGGAGACTCCAGTACCCTCTTCTGGCCTCCATGGGCACCTGCACATATGTGATACTTATACATGTACTCAGGCATACATACATAAAAAATAAGAGGCTCCTGGGCAGGGACTGTCATCAGAGACCAACTGGTGCTTCCAACAAGCCCAGTCCAGACTTCCTCAGCCAGCCTTAGAAGCTAAATAATTTGCTTCCTACACAGCCTTGATGAGGGGTCCACCCCGGAGATATAATTTCAGGGCTGGTCCAGGGAAAGGCCCGGGGCAGGTGATCCTAAATGAGGTGGTTGTTTTAGCCATCTGAATAGCTACATGGAGCTCTGTCCCCAGCAACACACTGACCCGCCATGGTTTTCACATCTCCCCAGAGTCCTGTGTACTGGGAAAACCCTGCCACAGAAAATTGAAAACAAAATGTTCCCTGGTTATTTATAAATGAAACTGGGACCCTGTTGTGTATGTCTACTCGACTTTGTCCAAGAAGCTCAGAGGGCTAGAAGAAGGCGGGTCTCCCTCCCTTTCTTCTTCCCTGGTTAAGGCTCAAGCAGCCCAGAAATTTGTTTCCTGATGCCCCAGGTCCTGGGTGGCTTCCTTATCTTAAACCGTCCCAGATTGTGAAACTGCCCTAATTTCCCTTGCATTTTTGAATAGGGCACTTTCTGTTTGATGGGAAGGTCTCAAGGAGAGTAAAAAAGTGAACTGGCTATTTCGCTTTTGGTTTATCAGCTGTTTCACTTTCTGCCTGTCTGCCTGGGTCCAGGGCAAATGGACACGATTCAAATATTTTCCTCTTGTCTCAGAAACTGTGCCCATCACCCGCTGCCAGTGATTTACAAACACCTGTAAGTGTCTTGTCCCCCAAAGAGGCTTCCTTGGCCTTCTGTTGGCCTGACCAAGGAAAGTGTCTGCAAGAGCCCTAAAGACAACTTTGAAAAAAAATTTAAAAAGGGAGGAGGGGAGCTTGTCTCCAAATATGGCAGAAGAATTAGGCTGGGAAAAGCCCAAAACACAGGTTTCTCCCTGGGCTGAGCAGTGGTTCATTCTTTCCACTGAGGAAGTCAGTGCACATGCAGACTTTTGTTCCTACACATAAGAACAGAGTTGGCTGCAGATCAGTTCTGCCCAAACAAAGTAAACAGGGCTGGAGAGGTAAGAGTGCTTAGTAAGAGTGCTTGCTGTGCTAGTGTGAGGACCAGGGTTCAAACCCCCAGCATCTGCATAAAAACCTTTAACCCCAGTGCTGTTGGGGCAGAAGACAGGAGGATCTCTGGGGCTTACTGGCTGCCTGCTTGGTTCCATGTTCAGTGAGAGACCCTGTCTCAAGGGATTAAAGAGGAAAGTGACAGAGCAGGACACTGTGCTCAAGGGCACACACACACGCACGCACACACACACACACACACACACACACACACATACAATTTTTTAAAAGATAACCACGGAGAAAGCTACATCTAGCTGTATGATGTCTTTACTTACGAGTTCATTTACAATAAAGTGATTTTTATTAAAAACAAACAACCATGGGATATGGTTTATTCCTCTGTATCCTGGGGTCTCCAACGCTGACTGGGATCCTAGTTTCTTT